TTGAATGGTCTAAGTACGTAGCTCGTATGTAGTAGAAACTTTTCATTTTTGATAAATCTGATTCACACGAAACTTATCCGAATAAAAATTCAGAGGTTTTTTATCCCCCTACAAAGGGAAACTAGGGGTTTTTTGGAAAAATCTGGGGGGGAAGGTGAAAAGAATCTGGCAACACTTGGTCAAAGAAAAAAATTGTCAATGGCTGAATTTGAATTACGACGGTCAGTTTTATAAAGTCGGTTGAAAATTGAAAACGAGGACTAGACGCTAGACGAGAAGTTTTTGTTTTGTAAATTATAACGAAATTGAAATCTTTTACTTTCCGTAACATTATATTATTATACTATAACCATGAGTGATCCGGGCGATGTGTTGGAACTCGAAAACAAAATAACTAACCATGAAGCTTTCGGAAAACCGTAAGGAATATTTATTAATTTTTTATTTTTAAATATTGTAAATATCTGACGAGCTACATGAGTAAAAATTCATTTTCAGGTACAAGTGGTCTGCGAGTGACTTCGAGCTAGGTTCAGCACTTGGACGTGGTAAATTTGGAACTGTACACGTTGCAATAGAAAAGAAAACCGGCTACATGGTCGCCATTAAAACTTTATTCAAGTCACAGCTTGTAAAGTCAAAATGTGAACGACAAGTACTGCGAGAAATTGAAATTCAGTCTCACTTAAAGTAAATAAAATACATCATACATTTTCACATGAATATAGTAATAAACATTTGTGTTAAATTAAATATATCAATTTATTTTCGTGTCATTTATTATCAAAAGTTTCTGTATTGACTTTGCAGACATCCAAACATTTTACGTCTGTTGACTTGGTTCCATGATGAGAGACGCATTTACCTTGTTGTGGAGTTTGCTGCTGGTGGAGAATTATACAAACACCTCACAAGCGCACCTGGAGGCCGTTTTACAGAAGCAAAGGCTGCTAAATACATTTATCAAGTAATTGCCCTATACCTAACATAATTTTGAAAATGTCATTCAGATTAATAAATAGTTGTGTAATATATACGAAACTATGACAGAACAATGTCCTCAATAATTCTTATCCATGGTAATGTTAACACCTTGTACTGCTCGCACAATCTAACTTGGCCGGGCTGAAGTTAGTCACATGAGGCTGCGCGCAGATATAGTTTTTAGGAACAAAATGGTAACAAGAGGTGTGGGAGGATGGACAATAGCTAAAACTAGAGATGCGAAGACACATATTCCACGGTTACAATTACCACAGATTAAAAAATGTTACGTAGAATCGATTACCGTTATTATCGAGTATGATTCGATTTTATTTTATTAAGGTTAAAACTTTTTAGAATCGTCGAGATTTGAAACTCGATGAAACGAGAAAGCGACATTAATAAGAAACAAATATATAAATATATCTATAGGATTTAACCTGCAAGAAAATGATTTTATTCTAGTACATTATATAATATATAATAGTTTCCATTTATCTCGGTACAGCACCACATGGATGGATGAGGAATATAACTTTTAACTTTTAAAATAAAAAAATTAACTAATTTGTTAAATAAGATTAACAATATTGAATAAAATTATCTTAATCAATTCATTCATAACAATCCACAATTTTATAACTTACCGATTTATATTAAATTAGTAGTATTTGACGTACCACCTTGAACCAATCAATTTTTGTTCAATAAATGACTTTACCTATTAAATGAAGTAGGCTTTATGCTATTACAAAGCAATTTTTCTCGCAGTTTACAAAAGGTTTCACTTCTTTCGCGTGTGAACTACACACATGATTTTTTTATTGTTTATTGGTGTGTAAATTCAACATATCGTTTTAAATACAGTCATCAATTTATTATATTTTTTAATTTTAAATTTTTATTACATTCCAGTAGAAAAAAAGATACAATGGGTGAACTTAATGCCTAAAAGCATTCTCTACCAGTCAGTCAATACACATTATATTTAACAAAATATATTATGATATTATATTGCAAGTAAATACATAAATATCCATATTGTATTTACATATCTTAATGCATAATTATTATCTATAAACATACACACATACAAATATGTAAATAAAATATCAATACATTCATATAAATACAACTATTTAACAATATTGCAATTATATTATTTTGGTGGTACTGAAAAAATTTTTAGTCCCTGCTAATATCGTGTAGTATATATTCAACATGTTTATCGTAATTCTTTATTAGATTTAGATATACTATTGTTTTATTGAAATACATAAAGATATTTTTTATAATAATCAATTTCAATAATTGATATAATCAATGTAAACTAAACAAATGCTTCCGATGTTAGGAACGAATATGAAGTGGCACATCTCTATTGACTAACCAACTTCACCCCGGCAAAGATAGAGTGCGCAGACAATATATTAACTAAGTGATATGCTATACATACATATATATACTACTTTACTACTATGTGGCCACTTACTTAAAAGAGATATTATATAATTACCAATGTTGCCAAACCACTTGCTAAGGGTACAATTATGACCAGTATTACCACCGTGAGGCATTACCAATGTTGTTGCCAAAACACTTGCCAAGTGTACGAGTATGACAAGTATTACAGCTGTGAGCCAGCATCTAGGCAGTGTAGGTTCAGCAGAGGATTTTATATTGACTGTAATAAATTAGTTTACTCTAATGTGGTAGAGCCATGCTGCGGCTGTATTATGGTTGTAGCATGAATGAGTTGGCTCGATGGGTGAAGGGCCATGCTTGTAGGACCATGTTCTCACAGAGTACCAGGATAAAATAGCAGTAATGCTTCTGTGTTTCTTATGGTGAGTGTTAAGAACCACAAGACCCATTTTACCAGAAACAGGGCATTCCATCTTAGTCTTCAGGAGTGACAAGTGTCACTTGTCACACCTGAAGACTAAGATCTAAGAACGCATCTGCATTTTGTTTCTTAATAGAGTACAAATGTAGATGTCCTATGGGGCACAGCATTCCATCAGGTTGACTGTGTGCTCTTTTGCCACCCTTATTCTATTTTAAAAAAATACTTACATTTTCTTGTTTACCAGCCTATATAAATCAACTGCTCTGTCTGTGTGTTACTATACAGTGGACCCCCGGTAATTCGACAAACATTTTGCAGTACAGTGTCGGACTATAGAATTTATCGGATTATAGAGTACTGCCTAAGACCCCCGGATCATATCATATCACGCGGAATTTTTTACAGAAGAGTACCTTGTAATCCGACAAATTACGGATCCAATGATAAGATTCTATATGTTATATATATATACATATATATATATATATTAGGGTGGAGTGATAATGTAAGAAATTTTTTTTTTGTTTTTTTTTTTTGATTGCATAGCGATAAAAATTTGCCTTTCATTGAGTAAATCCTACATACAAAATATTATTTACTTATCATGATGTCTTGAGGTGCCCCAACACAATTGAAAATTTGAAAAAAGCGATGAATGTCGTAGCACACCAGGCGGGAACAAAGTTCCTTACGCTACTCTATATATACCTATGTGTTAGTGTAGTAGACACCATCAACAGAGTAACAGCTTAGGAATCGGTTAAATAAAGTCTGGTTAAATATAAAAAATACATATATTAAAAAAATAAGGTAAAACTAAGTAATTATGATAGATTTGGATATCGTTCAGAAACACAGTAATTAAATATTAAATTGTTTTTTTGTATCAAAATTTGGCATTTGCTGACGTGATAATAATCGTGCCCTTATGAAACCGTCTCGTTTATTTTCTCCACAAACTGCACTTGAAGCTTCAGTCACCAATTTTATGCAGCGCTCTACGTCTTGGGTGTGGCATGGGAAATCTTTTATACTCTGACATGTTCTCAAACCGCATTTGACAATCTCTTTCAAGAATTCATCAGATAAATTGTAAGTCAGAGGTGGCTCAGTTATTTTACAGTCTTGCCACTTAGTGAGGTCGGTATAATCTTCAGCATCGAAATTTAAAGGAGGCACTTTGAACGTTCGAAGTCCTTGATCATTCTCTGCTCTAGCTTTCAAAATTTGTTGACATGCTAGTTCTCGAATGATTTCTCTGTCATCTCCAAGCATAGCAATAAGAATATTTTCTGGGTGCCCGAAATATCCATTTCGTATGAGTACCTTATCAATGACTATCTTCAAATCCGCGCTCAAATAGCGAGTCAGGCTAATCGTTTGCCACAGGTGCTTAGCTCCATTTATGCATGATGGATTACACTTTATAGTGAACCACATCGGACCATAAACTTTTATCACGTATGTGGCTAATATCATTAAGTTTTCTAGGGGGTCTGTTTTAGTAGCATATAATCTTAGAATTCGATTTGCTGTTGTAAGCCATCTAGAATGGCTAAGGGGTCCAGGTTCGATATTAGCCAAATCGGAAGTAAAGACGCCAGTGCTGATAGCGTTCATCACATCATAAAGATATTTTTGGTCGGTGCTCAAATCATTTCTAGGAATTTCAGGTAATGTTGAAGGAATGACGGTAAATTCGACAATTGGCATTGTTTCACATTTTTGTAATTCAGAGCCGATAGGACCTGAAAAGCATTTAGGCCCTGTGGTTTTTCCATCCAAATGTAATAACAGATGTCGCAGTGGTAACTCATTTGAATGCAATTGGCAGATAAACCACTGTAATGGTTTCTTAAGTTCTTCTTCCATCAAACGAACAACACCACCTTTGGAACCTGTGTTCACGACAGTTCCATCGCAACCAACAACAGCTATTTTATTCAGATCCACCGATTTCATTTTCAGGTGACGTATAATTGTACTTTGAATACCTTTAGCGGTTCCCAACTCACACGTAACATGCCCGAAATAATCACTTCCTGGCTCCGATAAAATCACATAATGGTCTTCTGTTACTCTTTTTCTGTAAAATTTGCCTTCCTTCTTAATACTTACTAAACTCTTATCCTTTCTGCCATCAAAATAAATACCGCGTATGATTTTATTACGATCTGCGTCTTGTAAAGATCGTTCTTTCAGACGCGTTGATAATGACACCGCTTGGATCCTTCGTTGAAATAATGCCAACATCTTTTAACACAGAAGAAGCTATAATAGCAGCGGCTCTGTCGGAGACTCCAGTACGATCGCAAGCGAGGGCTAATGATGATAAATTTAACTTCTTTTTTTTTGGTGGTGGTGGGGTTTTTGGTAGTCTCGCTACGTGTTTTGGCGATTGATAAGGACTAGAAGCTACGCTATTGCTTGAACTGGTGCTTTCGATCGTCAAGTCATCATCATCAGGCAACGAACGAGAACAACACGGTTTGTTGGGATCAAATATCTCTTTGTTACGCAATAAACTTTTTTCTTGTCTTTCTAGTTTTCTCTTATTTTTTACAGTTGTAACCAAATCTACACCACCTATCATCATTTTTCTTGTTGTCCTTTGGTCGAGTAAAAATTTTATTTCTTCCTTGGGAACACGACTGTCTTTTGAACAAGTGCAATCTGAAATAAGTTTGCATTTGCAACTGCAAACATCAAATAATCTATGAGACTCAGTTATGAATGTATTTATCTTCTGTTGATATTTTTTGTTTAATTGACGGCCTCGATAAGGTTTCATTAAGCTTCTATATTTGTCATGGTAGGATCGAATAAGTTGTAATACTCTCTTAAGACTGACTGTTGGCAGCGACGCTTTTCGCCAAATTTCTAAAACTTCCTGAGCCAATCTTTCGGATATGTCATGAATTGTCGGCTCTTTTGTTTTTTTGTCAGGCTTTAATTCATATTTAATGAATAAATAATTTTTCATTACATCATTATAAGTTGGTAATTGAGCTACGGGTAACTTCTCTGGTAAATCAAACACAGGACAGGATGTCTTTTGTCGTGTTTTTACTTGCGACATTTGACTGTAATAAAGAGAAATAATAGGTATGAATTCAATCAATTTTGATCTAAATTGCATTAACTATGAGCAGGAAATTGAAAATACTACTTACATGAGTCTTACTTCTTGATTTAAGTCGTTAAAATCAATGCTTTTCACAAGTGTAATAGTATTAAATCGCGCGCGCGGGTGCACTAAAAGGCATTCGAACGACGTTTGACGAGAGTAGTGTATTCACCTCCCCCGTGCCCCACAACCCCCGCTCTACCGCACACATTTCAAGGTCAAAATTGAATGTCTTGTACCAACAGGGTGACACTCTCAATATGACTTAGCGTTAATTAGACATTCGTGTGTTTTGACAAAATTTCGTGAATTTCTCTAAAGTTCATGATGTTGGGGGCACCTCCAAATATATCATATGTCAACCAAAATTTTGTGAGAATATTTGTAAGCTATAAGAGCAACTTTTTACAGGTATTACAAAACAATTACGAAAAAAAAATTTTTTCGCTCCACCCTATATATATATATATATATATATATATATATATATATATATATATATATATATATATATATTTATATATATATATATATATATATATATTCTAATGTACAAATCATAATTCTTTATGTCAAATTCAAACTAAACAATCAGAATCGAAACAATACTTTATGCATAGAGCACAATAGTGGTGGTGCTTAAAAGTTATATATGTTGATAAATATTTATATTTTGACTGTAAATATTATTGTAATTAATCCCTTGCAGAACAATAGCACCAGCAACCTTTGTATATTTGTTTCTCTTCTGGAACTTCATTAGGTGAGAGTATATGTGGTCGTACTCGGACACAAGCCTCTTGCTCCGAGGTTTCTTGGGATCTACCAATAGCACTCATGCAAGAGTGACTACTGCTATTACACATTTTTGTTTTAGTTTAGTCTCTAGTTGTGAAATCAATAAAATTTCAGGTTGCGGATGCAGTTGAGTATTGTCATCAGCGTCATGTTATACATAGGGATATTAAACCAGAAAATATTTTAGTTGCCTTCAATGGTGACCTCAAACTTGCTGACTTTGGCTGGTCAGTGCATGCTCCTTCGGAAAGGTAGGTTAATCTACATTTTATTTATTGTAAAATGCAATTGTTTTCTGGTCTCTGACACTAAATTCTAGCCTACCTCCAATTATTTTATCACTATAAATTTTATATGTGGGGGACTTAGAATAAGTGATGGCCCCTGTATTTTTATTTGCACTTGAGGTGTACTTTAACATTATTTGAGGCATTATTAAGCTTCTGACTTGAATCTTCATTATCACTTATGTCGAAATTTACGAGGGATACAACATTATAGCAGTCAATAATCTTAGTATTTTTTTTCTTTTAGACGGAAGACTATGTGTGGAACCTTAGACTATCTCCCACCCGAGATGATAAGAAGAGAAGTTTATGATGTATCAGTTGACCACTGGTGCATTGGAGTGTTGTTATACGAATTCCTAGTGGGTAAACCACCATTTGAGAGTGAAGGCCAGGACAAGACATATGCAAGAATTCTTGCTGTAGAAGTGACATATCCTGAACATATCTCAGAAGGTGCTAAGGATCTAATATCTAAGGTATTAATATAACCACTAAATTCCAAGTTTTAAAGCAGCAGGTGGTGTTGATAACGGCTTTTAATTGTTCATAACTTCTTAAAAAATTTCATTTCTTGAGATAAAATGACAAAAAGCTTAAAAGAGATTTCTAAGTTCTATATGCAATCAATGCCTGCATTATAAACAGATGTTCTCAACCATTTTCATTTGGAGAGTTTAAAAGAACCCTAATAAGTAGTATAAACAATGAAATACAAAATCTAGGTAGAGAGGGTAAGCCTGGTGGCTAAGGAAAGTAATTGTGCAGAGCATGAACTTGATTATTTTTCTTTAGGATCTAACATAAAATTAAGTGTTAATGTTTCTTTTTCAGCTTCTCCGCTATCAAAGTAAAGAAAGATTATCGCTGGAAGCTGTGAAAACACATTACTGGGTACAACATAATTATGAGGCAGTCGTTAACAAGGAGTAGCAAATACATACATGACAGTGGGAACAATTGATAAAGCAGTAAAATAGTTGAGTTAGGACTTTCATGTTGTGTCAACTGCCCAACCAGGAGTCTGTATTGAAGTCTCGTAATGTTTTGGCTTGTGGCTCCACCCACACCTGAGCCATCCGTTGCTGATATTACATTCCGAGAACTGGCGACCAATATAACTAACTGACTAATTTTACTATTTATTTATTATTCTACTATTTATTTTTGTTCTGATTAAATTATATAATAAATTACTAATTAAAAAATAAATAATAAATTAAATTAATGAATATGAAATAATGTTTATTTACAGCTATCAGACAATATAAGATAATAAGCACAGTAGTCTTAATTCTTTAGTATATAACTATAAACTATGATCTTATCACACCAACTCAGCTGGAGTGTGTAAACAATGGAGTATAGTTCTGTGGTCCTTACACTCAAATTGACTGGGGTTGAGTATGATTATTAGATTATGTGAACTTCTTTAAATAAAGTATAACAAATTAATATATACAGTATTCAAACATATAGAAATAAATTAGACATAAGAATTATCATATTAAATTTTAATTAAATAATATTTGTAAATTTTATGTCGATTGATTATTATGCCTGGAATTATCAAGACCGGAAACAAGCAGCGGCGGCCGGCGGCGGCGTACATCAAGGCCCGGTTTCCACCAAAGCAGAGAGGAGAGGAGACGAGAGATGTGTTTGAATAAACCAATCCGATTTCGTTATTTCCATATCACTTCTCTGCTTAGCTTCGGTGAAAATGGATCAAGCGGAGAGGAGAGGAGATGTCTCATTTTTTATAGAATTTTGAGCGGCGAGCGAGCAAGCGGCGCGGCAGAGCGGAGAAGTGTCTAGTCGGGCGGCTGGGCGGCGTACAGAACTTGACTGGTTTCGATCTCTCACAGCTCACATCTCTGCTTTACAAATCTCACATCTCCTCTCTACTACACTTATCCTCTCCGCTTTGGTGGTAATAACCTGCCAGCTTTGCAGCACATCTCCTCTCGTCTCCTCTCTTCTCTGCTTTGGTGGAAGCCGGGCCTAACACTGAGGTCGTAACCTCGTCACATCATCAGCTGTTATCAATTTAGTAGTCGATTATTACAACACAAAGATGTTCAATGTGTCCGCCTTGTACCTCTATACATTTGCAATACCGGTTTATAATGTCTGAACTTCTGCATAATTGCAGTCACAATTCCCGAGACACATCAACATATTAAAATATGCCTCGTTTGAGTAAGACATCGCACACAAGTCACTGTACGGATACTTAATTTCGCAATATAAAAAACAGATCCGTCCGGAAGTAATCTACGCGGGTGGTAACTGATAACACAGCTACCAATATCAGCGCTAGCACCGTACTAGTGGTTTTCGTTTGTTGTGTATGTGTATTTTCTGAATCGAGGAAATTTGTTGTGATGTTTGATGTAATTTTTTAATAATAGTTATTATTCATTTATTTACTTCAGGCAGAGCCCGTAAGTGTTAACAAATTAAATTATAGCTAGGATTACTAAAAATACGTTAAAACACTACAATAACAAGAGAATTTTAAAAATTGTGGGATTAATCCACACAATAACATATAGGTACTTAACCCTTAAGTGCATGATTTGTTCTTATTACGTAGGAAAAATATATGTAGTAGACATGTACATGCCTAAGCAGGGAAAAATAATAAAAATAAAAAATCATTTTTTATAGGTTTTTATTTAAAAAAAAAAAAGACGTGTGGCACTCGGGGACTGCCGCGGTAAAGCTATTGCATAGCATTTTGTATCAACTTATGCAATTATAATTATTAATATAAGGACTACGTAAATATTCAGTACAGCAAGATTGGAAGAAAAATGACGTCTAAATATTTTTTCGTATTTAGTAAACGAATAACTAGTTGGTAAATTAATCATGATATATATCTTTTTTTTTCGCCGGAGACTAAAATGATATTGCTTGTTTTCGTAACTGCAGATTCTGTGGATTTATTTCATTATTTTGAACAATATACGAAATTTAAGTGACTAAAATTAAATCTAATCTGAACCAGAATCATAAAAACTGTATTATTCGTGCTAAACGAATCTAATAAATATCTGTTATTTTTGTCTCCTGCGAAAAAAACAGACTATAGGAATCTATCGAATACCTACATAAACAAAATATCACCTATAAATAAAATATTACAAAGCGGAATAACTAATAAGAGTGGCAACGTCGCACTATACAAAGGAATTGCGTAGGTGGCACAAGTCGCGGGCTCGAACTCATTGGTGGGCGCGGCCCAAAAGCACGTTGTCTCACCTGGCATCGTGCCACTCGTACTAAATTATTAGTTTTTTTTTTTTGCGCCCGAAGCAATTAAAGGGCTACCCTATACGTAGGGAGGCGGAAAATGCATTACGCATACCACGATAG